GTCCCACTTGTGTGCCCATGGCTGTGATCGGCAGCCCTACCTGAGATGAGATATATGGAAGGAACAATTACTCCACCCAAATGTGAGGGGGTTTGCAATGACCAGAAAATGGGAGCTCAGGAGGTTAAGAACACCAGAAAAATAGAATCTGCCACACACAGCAGCAGGGAAGGGCTGAGTGTGGGGGATGTAGTGGTGGATGATAGACAGAGGAGAGATCACACCAGCCTTGAATTCTAGGATAAGGCTTTTGGACTTTATCCTGCAACTGGTGGGCCGCCTTAGGAAGGTTTTAAAAGGTGAGAGATGTAATCAGGGCCATGTTTGAGAAAGAGCAAGCAGATCTTTTGTTTTTTGATTCATCCACTCAGAAATATTTCTTGAATAATGACTTCGTACACAAGACTATGTTTGGATTTGGAGATACAGAGGTAAATGATGTTCCCACTTTTCGAATCCACCAAGTCCATTCTAATGCCACGGACTGTTTCAAATCTCGTGTATATCTTCTCCCCCAACTCCTCGGAGACCTTACCAGTTGGGGCAAGTATATGTGAGTAATCCCTGCCTACTTAGCAGCTGAAGTACCTTTCTGTGTAACTCCTTGAGCTCCTGGGTCACCAAGACACCACTGAGACTCCTCAAATCTCTTTGATCGGCCCTGACTGATCTCCCCCTTTGCCTTCCACCTTGACTCCCAACTTACAGGGAAGTCAAGTGTAGACAGCTCTTTGTCTGGGTTTGAATTTTGGCTCTGCCACGTACTAGCCGTGTAATCCTAGGCAAGTTACTGAAAATCTCCAGGTTACCAAAAATTGTCCCCTACATTGAACCCTTCCCTGCAGCTCAGTTTCTTTATCTGTAAAATAGATAGTAATGGAAACTGTTCTCCACTGAGCTGATTTGTTGGAAGCCTTAGGAATGGGGTTCTGACCCTGAGTAAGCATCCAGAAAGTGCTCACTATCCTTGGCCTGCACAGTCGTCTCTTGGGAGGAGCTGGGGGTCCTTTCTCCACCCTTGCCGGATGGTGTCTTCCAGTCTGCCTGGTTTCTCTGCCTGTCTCCAAGCCGGGGCTCTGGCTCAGTCTGTACACACTGGTGCAGCTGAACCTATTGTTGGTGAATATCCACTGTCCCAAGACCCTGGCTGCCCTGCCCCTCTGCTCATCCTCCTCGTAATCCAACAGCTAAGATGTTATCATCTGGCTCCATAGGGGCTCCAGGATTCAGCTCTGGCACTGGGGCTGGATTCCTTCTGATTGACAGGAGCACATGCCACAATGACTGTGAAATGGTCTGATTGTCCCCCTGCCTAAGCCTGCCCTGCACCCTGAGTTCCAAGCAGGCTCTGAAGTGCCCTGTTATCTGGTATGTTCCTAGAGGAGACTGCCCACCCTACCTCTCCTTCCGGACTCGCTCCTTTTCCTCTGGTCCTTCTCTCAGTGAATGGCACCACCAGCCAACCAGAAGCCTAGGAGTCGTTTATTTATTCATTCATTCAACAAATATTGATTGAGCGCTTCCTTGGTAATAGTAACAACAGCAACAATAAAAACAAATAATAAAATAAATAAAGGAAGTGCTAGGAAGTTCAGCAAAGTCTGGATATTTCCATCATGGTCACTTCTACTCTTGTAAATGTCAAAATACTTAAAAAATATCTCAGCACGCTCTTGCTTGGCTGCATGTGCTGGTCTTCCTTTGAGACAAAGGGGAGCTGGCTCCTCTCTGACCTTCTGTGGGCCTGCTGCTCACACCTCCGTGCTGATCCCCTGGCCTCCAGCTTCTCCCTTCCAGTTCCCTCTCCACACCAGAAGGAAGAACTTTCTAACAAGCCTGCCACACTCTGTCAATGTTTTGATTTGGGTTCCCCTTAGATGAGGATTCATTTGCAAGTAGTTTATGTGGGACGTGATCCCAGGACAAACCAGGAGGGGTAGTGAGGTGGGGAAGGGAGACAGAGAAGGGAGGGCAGGCTTTAAAGGGGGCATCTGGCCACCACTGATGTCGGTGAGCAGATCACACTCTCTTCTCGGGAACTCTGGGAGCCGGTGCGGAGCGAGCACCTCAGAGTTTCCCATCCAGGAGCCTGGGGAGCCGTGATATTTATACACCAACTCCCACCAGTCGCTGAAAGGCAGGAGTGCATTAAATTCTGGTACTTCTGACCCGCCATGCCCAGGCAGAGTGGGCTCAGGCTGCCAGGAAAAGCTCTCAGGCCAAGAGGTGTAGACTCTAGCAATGGGAAGTTGGAGGTCTATGGGCCGGTGCTGCAGAACCCACATATCTGACTCAATCTAATGGGAAGTCACGAAGGCTTCATTTCAAGTTAACCATCTGAGCTTACAATAACTTCCCAAATCTTACTGAAATTATGAAAACAATAAAAATAAGGGGGAAAAAAGCCCTGAAACACTACTGTTAAAAGGAATAACATCAACTAGACAGAAACCTCAAGAACTTTCTGGAAGATGTGAACCCAGTATGACTGGATATCTGACAACCACAGCAAAAGCAGGGCCTGCCTGTGCGTCTGTCCTGATGCTGATGCCCACGTGACTGCCAGCAGGGGCTGGAGGCAAAGATGGGCTGGGAGCAGCAAGGAGAGCTCCTAGTGACCTGTGCATCTGCTGCCAGCGCTCAGAAGAGCTCTCAATCCCTTTCGATATAGGCTGTCGTATTTATAAATATCAGTGAATAACAACAAGCACCAGTTAGTCATCTGAAGAGATTAAGCAGCCTCAAAACGAGAACCAGCAGACCGATCAGAGCCAATTAAAAAGAAATATTATAGAAAGCAGGAGCTAACGTTTTTTGGGTTTTTTTTGTTTTTGTTTTTTTTTTTTGAGGAAGATTAGCCCTCAGCTAACTACTGCCAGTCCTCCTCTTTTTGCTGAGGAAGCCTGGCTCTGAGCTAACATCCGTGCCCATCTTCCTCTAGTTTATACGTGGGACGCCTACCACAGCATGGCTGCCAAGCAGTGCCATGTCCGCACCCGGGATCTGAACCAGCGAACGCCGGGCTGCCGAGAAGCGGAACGTGCAAACTTAACCGCTGCGCCACCGGGCCGGCCCCAGCAGGAGCTAACTTTTAAAAAGTTCGCGTTGATGCGGGGTTGGTGAGCCGAGGAGTCGAAAGAAAGATTTCCTGGACTCTCAAGATCTGGCAGTAGTGCTCTTTTATTTAGAGAATAGTGTGGAATAGCATGGGGACAGGGCCCATGGGCAGGCAGAGCCGCTGCTGCTGCCCCGAGTTGAGGGTTAGGGCTAATTTTATAAGGCATGGGTATGTGAGTCATCTCTTTACAAGACAAAGGAAAGAACATGAACAAAAGTTACAATGGTATCAGTGCAGGTGGGGTCTGGTCATTGGGTGATCCCATGACTTTTAGACAAGAATGAAATCGGATTAAGTAAAGGTTAGAAAGGTTAGAAGCCACCACCCTAAATCAGTTACATGAGATTACCAGACAGCAATCAACTTAAGTTCTTGCCTTCCCCATTAAGAGTTTCTAGGGACAAGGTCATCTCTCTTCTTCTTCCTGGTACAGAGAGGGAGGCACCTTTTACAGATAGAGATTTACCTTACAAACGTAAATGTGTCCCAAGAAGGGCAAGTTCCATTCCCCAGAGCCTCCTTCCCTGTCCCAGTTTATCGAAAGCAATCAACCCAAAACAATCCCGATGCCAAAGAGACACATCCTGGCGTGGCCAATTTCAGGTCCCTACAAGGTCATCCCCCCTTCCTTCACAAATGCAAATGTCTTTCAAAGAGCAAGCAAATTCCAGTCCTCGGAGCCTGCTTCTCATCTGCAGTTTTTTAAAATTACCCAGCCTAAAATCCTCATCAGCATTTGTATCTCAGTGAATTGTTAGAGGAGAAGAAAAGCATGAAATGGAGAACAAGAAACAGTCCTTGAAAATAAAATACATGATTGTATGTGCCCAAAAATAAAACAGAAATGCATATATACTATGGAAAACTGACGGAGTGCGTTATCAGATAAACTCACAAGAATTAATACAATCCTCTCAGAACAAAGACAAATTCATGAGATAAAAAATAAGAGAGAGGTGGGGCCAGCCGGGTGATATAGCAGTTAAGTTTGCACGTTCTGCTTCAGAGGCCTGGGGTTCATCTGTTCACATCCCCGGTGTGGACCTAAGCACCACCTGACAGGCCAGGCTGTAGTGGGGTTCCCACATATGAGGTAGAGGAAGATGGGCACGGATATCAGCTCAGGGCCAGTCTTCCTCGGCAAAAAAGAGGAGGATTGGCAGCAGATGTTAGCTCAGGGCTAATCTTCAAAAAAAAAAAGAGAGAGAGAGAGATGGATATAATGTTCCAATATTCATATAACAGGAGTCTTAGAATAAGTAAGAAGGATGGGTAGAAGTGAAGTGTCAATTAACAAAATAACTAAAGAAAATTTCCTGAGCTGAAGAATGTTTTATCTATGGATTGAAGTGGTTCACTGAGTCCTGGGCAGAATTGCTGCAAAAATTCCACCCAAGGACATAGCTGGTAAAATTTCTGAATTTCAAGGATAATGTAAAAATCCTATAAACTTTCCTACAGAAAGAGATTCAGACTGGCGTTGGAGTTCTCATTTGCAGTGTTAAAAATTAGAAGACAATGGGGCAATATGTAAATAATCCTGTAGATTGAGAATTATTAAAATTTTGCGGTAGGCAAACTGAGAACAAAAGAGAGATACTTTCAGGAATGTCAAGTATCGAAAGTACTCTTTCTGAGAAACAACCTTTGCGGAACAATTATGACCAAAGGAAAATTCACGGAGAATTAAGATCTCAGAAAGCAAAAACCATTGTAATACCTTAGCAATCTAATGAGAAACAAAGTCAGGACAATTTATAGTCATGGCTAATCGATGTTGCCCAATGTGAAATACGCATACCACATATAAATTGAGGTGATTTTTCTAATAGTTATGTGCTTATTTTCATATGTGTTAGAAAAACATAAGTAGCACCAGATCCATAATTCCACATTTATTTTCATTCAATATGAAGCTTAAGTGGATATTTAAGTTTGAAAAAGTGTTTTGGTTTAAAGAAAAATATTAAGTAACGAATAGTACAGATAGTAAATTGTTAGATACTAGGCAAATGAATGAGTTTTGGGAAATGTTTGACTAAATGTTGATAAAGTGGTTGTAAAGTACATTCCTGACTTTACCAACTTGTGATGATAAAGTGCGTTCGTGTTTCTTTTTAAGCCTCAATTACAGCTCTGATCTGCTAGGTGTGAAATTAGCACAAAGTTCAATCCTTTTCTTCGTCAAATATTTTTCAATAATTCTACCTTCAAATATTCCAGGGTTGCTTACATTTGCCCAGGAATCAGTCCTACTCAGTGTTGCTCTGTGGACACCTGCTGGGGGAGGGGACCTTAGGGATGTCCCTGCAGCCAGATTCACTTGCCAGGTGTTGGTCGGCGCTCCATTGGCTGTTAGTGGAGAGCTGGTGCTGCTGAGAGCTGTGCTGAAGGCATGGCAGTCCTGAAGAGAGGGGCTCTGACAGGATCACCCTGTTCTGGTAGTCCTGTCACCCACACCGCCCCAGCTTTCGCTGACACAGGTCTCAGTCGGTCCAAGCAGGGGTGCTTTCTCAGAGCTCGAGGAAGGGCGCTGCTTCTCATAGTGTCCTCGGTGGTTATGGGGCCTGCAGCAGAACCGCCTGGTCTCCGGTGTCCCAGCTGTTAGATGGTATAGCGTTTCCTTTTCATCTACGCTGCAGCTTTCTTCAAGGCATCCCACATGCAGGAGGGAGGCTAACTTAGAAGTTCCACCATTAGTCCTGCTTCTGTCCACATCAAACATTTCCCAGACTGTAGTGTCCCCCAAAGCAGAGCCTGAGACAAGACTTGGTACAGGTGATCCCAGGAAGCAGGAGTGAAGGGACAGGGGGAGTGAGACAGAGAAGGGGAGAGTTCATCTATGGATGCATTGTTGAGGTCACTACTGTCAGCGGTGGGAGTTCAATTCCACCAGGACCTCTGAGAAGCGTGCAGAATATCTCCCGAAAGTCTCCACCTGTTGGACTGGAGGCTGGAGCATTTGTCCATCAGCCACCGTTCTGTGTTGGTTGAGGGTTGCCTATAGGGTATTAACTCCTCTGCATTTCTGAGCTGGGCTTGCAAGCCAGCCCAGAAAGCTTCCGGGCATTGGGAGAAGGTCTGAGCGTGGAATGGAGAAAGACAGGTGGCATGAGTCTGCAGGTGGAATACCAGCAGCAAAAGCAGAGTGGAACTGCCTACCACAGCCGTGGCTGAAGCCAGAGATGGGCTAGAGGGCTGCTAAAGGTGCAGACGCAGAGGCAGCTCCTACACCCCCACTCAGCAGTCCAGGCTCACCCCTCCTTAGAGGCAGGTCCAAGTCAGGGCCCACCCTCCGCACGGTTCTGTGCTGCTTTTCGGCTTCGGTCATGGCAGCAACAGTAAATGTGACATCTTAATATCTTTGATCCTCTATCAGAAGGAGAAAAAATTAATGAAGATAAAAAGTTAAAATGAATTAATCAAAGTTTACAAAACATGGTAAAACTGATAAATAAAACAAAGAGCTGGGTATTTGAAAACAAGCAAAACTAAGCAGACCTCTAGCAAGTCTGGCAAGCTGACCTCCAGCAAAAGAAAGAAAAACACATAGGTACAAAATTATAATGCGAAAGGCCATAAACCACCGACACAGGAGTCGTTTTAAAAATGAAAAGATTCTGTATACAATTTACTAGTGTGAATTTTTAAATATATGTATAGTAGATGATGTTCTGTGGAAATGTAGTGATCTAAACAGACGCCAAAATAAACAGAAAATCTGAAGAGTCTAACCACAAATGAAATTTAAAAGATTATAAAAAATCTGCTCACCTCCACAAATTCTGCATTCTTAGCTATTTTTATGGGTGGGATAGGAGCAATTCCTCAAAAAAAGGAGGATGCTACAGAAGGAAAAAATGGTAAATTGGCAAGTGAAAATAAAACCTGCCCATTACATTCCCCCTTGTGGGTATTAGACGCTGTCTCTCTCTGTGTCTCTCTCTCTCTTGTATCTCTTTTCCTCTCTCTCTCTCCCATGTATACAATTCCAAGAATGCTTTAACTTACATACAATAAAAACGCTCTCACCCCCTCAAGATTTGACAACCAAGAGACGTACAACTATCACATCCCGCTGCTGCTGGTGGAGCGTCTCAGGATGGCGCACACTCCATTTCACCAGGTCCTGATGCTGGCCGGTCAGTTATTAATTATTGAGCGCATAGGGATACAGCAAGAGTTACTGGCCTCAAGGATCTTATCTTCCAGTGGGAGGGGAGGGAGATAATACACATGGACACAAATAAATAGATAAGATGAATTCAGGTACTGAAAACGGCTTTAAAAAACACAAAATAAGGTAATGGGATGCCACTGGGGTGAGGGATGCTGAGATACCCTTCTGAAGAGATGACATTTGAGTTGGGGTGTTTGTAACTAGTCTATTGAGATGTCTTGATGAAGATATTAATATAAAACTATTTGATTTCTTACAAATGCTATCCCCGACCCTGCGATATTTATAGCAGCGTCCTTTACAGCATAGACCCTTATAAACCTCTGGGGAAAAAGATGAGTTAAGGTCCGCTCAAAAGACAAAAAGCACTTTAAGTATTTGAAACAGAGGGAATTTGATGCAGATGATAAGTTACACAAGTGATGGAAAAGCTGAGAAGCTGAACAGGGCACAGTAAGACTATCCAGATATTATCAACAGAGGGGCAAATGGAGGAAGACGTGTTCCCACAGCCCGGAGGCGAGGCTCAAACAGCAAAAGCTGGACCGCGCTGAGCCTGGAGGCAGAAGAGAAGAAGAGCCGGCAGCCAGCAACTGCACTGGAGGCAGAGAGGATGGAAGGAAAATGCCTGACTCCTCCCTTCCTCCTGCTTGCCAGTCCCTCACCTACCAAAGGAGCCAGAAGCCAGGTACTCAGGCCTGTGGGCCTGGGCAGCACAGCCTGCGGGGATCTGGCCCCACCCCACTGCAGGGCAGAGTTGGGGGTGGGAAATGCTCCCTGGGGGCAGACAGGGCCGGCCAGACACAGGAAGACTCCCCTTCCTGGTTCTTAAAGGTCCAGTCTACTTTTAGACTTCAATCTCAAATGATTAAAATCTCTTCTCCCTTTTCCCCTGCCCTCACATGGAGCGGTCTTGAACTGGAATCCTGACTGCTAGCAATGAAGCTGGGGAAGGAGCGTGATCAGGTTCTGAGCTATCCCTCCCTCCCTTCTTCAAGGCCCCGCTCCATAGGGAACCTCTTAGTCTCCAGTTCACACACCCACGCGCAGTAGGTCAGTCGCTGAGCCATCCCTGCGTGGAGACGGAGAAAGGTTTATTTGAATTCACCGAAACAAGAAGGCGGGAGGAGAGGTTCTCTTAAATCTGCCTTAACCAGAGAAGAAAGCAGGGCGTTTTACAGAGCCAAGGGGCTTGGCAGGAGGAGTTTTGGAGAAACGAAGGGTAAGTCCGTATTTCTTTCACTGTAGAGAAGCTCCTGGGCAATCTGACTTCTGGGCGTCAACAGCCACTGGGGGGCTGATCGTCCTGTCATCACAACATCCCTGAAGGCGTTCTCTCTTCAGCAAAACAGGCTCACAGGTCCTCATGACCCCTGAGTCACCCCTCAGCTCAAACAAGAAAATAGCAAATTGTGAAAGGCAATCATGTTCATATTGAATATCTACAGTAACCCTCAGAAACCTGACTTCAGTCCCCACTGTCTTCATCCACATTTCTATGGTAACCCTCGGGTATCTGGCTTCAAAGCTCACTGGTGTGTTTGGGCTGGGCAGAAGGAGAGGAAACTGGACGAGAGCATCTTTACCCACCTGGCCACAGCTGCCGTCCTTTCTAGGCCCGCTGTTACTGTGTTTTGGGCTCACAGTGACTGACTCCCCCTCTGAGGCAGATATTCAAATGCTGGTGAGTCCTCTGGAGGACCTGTGGGCCCAAGCCCAGCTACCGTCCACGATGTCCACTTAGCCCGAATGGAAATTCTTCCCTTCTTGTCAGGGCAACAGTAGGAGTGCAGGGAGCTCTCCCTTTGCCCCATTCCCATCCTGAAACAGTGCCCATTCTCCTCCACCTTCCTTCGGTAAGTCCAAGGGCACATTAGAAAATAATAGCCAACCAGGGAACAGCAGGCCAGTCTCCCCTTCCCTCAGGGCCCCCTCTCTGGGCAGAACCCCCAGAGTGTCCCAGTATTTGGCTTAGGGGGAGGTCACCTCTCACCACAAACACTGCCCTCCCCGCAGGACAGATGATTCTGCCTCCGTCTCCCCTTTTTCTCCTTCCCAGTCATCTCGTACAGATTAGGAAGGAGCGATGGGGACAGCAGGTCACCTTTTGGTGAGCCCGGGTAGGCAGCGTGTGCCATGGTGGGCAGCTCGCTTCAGCAGGTGGTGTGCTTCTTGGCTTAGAGCCTCTTTGTCCTCGCCTCTGGGCTTTAGCTGGAATTCCCGGACAACAGGAACAGTCCCATCGCACATCCTGTTACCTGGGAAGGGTGGAAAGGAGGCAGGCTTGTAAAGACCTGGGGGCAGTGTCCCAACAAGGAGGAACCGAAAACGGAAAGGCCTCGCTCGAGATGCAAACTTGGTTGGCGTGGCTAAGGGGAGGAAAGAGGCTGGTAGGAGCTGGAGCGAGAGCAAAGGGGAGAGAAGACAGAGAGAAGGCAGCTGCAGGCCACCTGGCTCTTGAGGACTAAGGTAGGGGGTTTGGAGTTTATGTCTAGTTGCTCTGAGAAGCTACTGGATGATTTTAAGCAGGAGAGGGGTATGAACTAGTTTTTTTCTTTTTCTTTTTTTTTTGAGGCGGAAAATTATATAATTGGACTTATTACGACATTTTCCACTGTTGGAAAACATGAAACCAGCATTGACTCTATATCCACAAAAAGAGTCTCAAATACTCACCTCCTGTGGCTAGCATCCTTTTATTATTGAGATAGGTACAACTATCTAGATTTTTGCTCTCAAAAGATCTATCAAGTTTAAAAGGATGTGAACTGATTTTTGATTTGGAAGGACCACTGTGACCTCTGTGTGCTGAATGGACTGTGGGGGCGGCATTGGAGGCGAATGGACCGGTTAATGAACTGTGGCAGCGATGTTGCTGAGAGGTGACGGTGTCCCGAGCTGCGGCTGGAGCAGTGGAGATGGTGAGAAGTGGGCAGCTTTGGGGGAATTTAGGAGGAACCGTGCTAAAAGGTCCCGGGAATGAGAGCGTGATTCCTGGGCTTTGGGGCTGGCCAGTTGCCCAGATGGCGGTACTATTCCCGGTATGGAATGACTCTGTAAGGGCGAGATTTCTTTCTAATTACTTGTTTTCTTCGTTATCCCATCCCCAGGGTCTAGAAGAGTATCTGCCACTTAGTAGGTGCTCAATAAATGTGTTGCATAAATGGAAAAATAGTACTTTGCTCAGGTTATAGTTGAGAAGCCTGCTCGTCACACTCGTGCTCTCACCACCTGTAATTAAATGATACCTTTAACCACTCCATGTATGTTTGCAAAATTTTACTTAAAAAAGAGAGAGAGGAAGCAAATTCCAGCGAGTCGTCATCTGCCAAATCCCTATGTCCCATCCTTCCGGACAAGGACAGCAAAGACTCACTGCTCTGGCAGAGGAGCAGATTCTTTCTGTCCTCGGATTGGTCCTATTTCTTGGGGGACTCGAGAAAATTCCACCGAGCAGCCGCAACCTGGACCCCATAGTGGAGGGATTCCTGCACTTCCCCACAGGTCTTAGGAAGGTCCATTTTCTGGGGACTCAGCTTCCTGGCCTGAGCTGGCTTGAAGCTCCGAGGGTTGGGGAAGCCCGCACAGGCCCTGGGCTGTTTCCAGTCAATGTTGCTTCAGGATGAGATGCTCCCTCTTTACTCCAGCTCCCCCAGGGTATACCCCTTCCCAATCACAGAGTTCTGCTTTCACAATTCTTTAAGGAAAAAGATCATCAAACTCTCGGCACCCTTGGAATCTTGCTGTGCGGGGAGGGAGCCTCTCCTTTCTCTGCCTGTGGTTCCCTGCTGCTGTCAAACAGCCCAGCTTCCTTGGAGCATCCTTTTTGGTAGTTCATAGCCAACCCATAACATCCTGACATCTTTTGACCCAGACCTCTTGTAATGGCTGGCGAAGATTTGCCCGGCTGCTTGCCAGCACGTGGGCTGGAATGCTAGCTTCTCCCCTCAGAAAAGAGGAATCCTCGTGGCTTCTCATCACCTTGCCTGAGCCAGTTCCACATTTTAGGGTCTCTTACCTTATTGCTTACAAGTCCCCGTTTGCAGGTACCAATTTCTTGATTATTCAGGCTTCTTTGGCTATGGGACAGAAATCCATGTAAACCTAGCTTAACTAAAAAAGGAGAGTTATCGGCTCTTGTAACAAGGGTGGGCCTGGCATTGGGACCACTGCATCCAGATAAATGAATAATGCTGTCAAGTCTCACCTTCCTACTCCCATCCCTTTGCCTCCGTCATTCGTCTTGACTTTTCTCTGTGCTCAGGCCTCATTTTCTCTTACTGGGGATGACTTCATCCTTGCGAGGACAGGCACAGGAGGCATGGCCACCAGAAGCTCCTGGCTTATATTATTCAGCTCAGCTGTGCCCAGGCAATGAGAAGGCTTCTCTCCCCTCCCCTGCTTTCCTGTGTAGAAGTCCCAGCTGATTGGCCCAGCTTTGATCAGTCCCCTCATTCAGGCTCCAGGCTGGGGGTGGGGCTCTATGACGGCTCAGGCTTAGGTTGCATCATCCTCTTGTGGCCAGGGCTCAGGAATCTGTGGTTGGCAGCCCCACTGGAATCAACCCCAGGGCCTTTAGGGGGAGGAACAGATCTCTAAGGGAAGGTGGTGAGACGGCTGTCCCTGTAGAGAAAGGTGGAAAGAGGGACTGATCAGGCAAACACGACAGATCCCTCTTACGGAAAGTCAGATTTGATGCCAGGAACCAAAGTAAGAGTGTGCATTCAAGGCTGTTTTTGTTTTGTTTCTATCTTAAACAAGAAATGAACTTTGTTGGCAGGAATCGTAATGAGGAAGTGAGCACAACGTCTTGCTCTGTGGAGAAGTGAACTGAGGGGGAAGTCGTGAGAGTTAGCTGTTAGCCGCCAGGCCTGCAGGAGGCTCCCGGCGATGAGAACCATGTCAGGTGATGACTCAGTGCCGTGTATCTCGCCTTCCTCAGCTCTGCCCTGTCCAATTCTCCAAAGCCAAATAAATAGGAAGCGTGGCAGACGGGCTTCTTTTTAGCAGCAGTACACTTGGGTTTGTTTTTACGGGCATGAGTCCACTGGAAAGCAATAATTTTTGTCTTGCCTCTTTGCTGCATCAGAGCAATGGAGCAATTTTAAAGAGAGATTGCAAAGAAACGATTTCATAGCTTACAAAATGGAATCACATAGTGACTGCCAAGTTGGCTGTGCTAATAAGTCATGACTGGTTCTTTTTTTTAAAATAAAAATTGTACATATTTAAGGTGTACGTGTTTGGTATACGCATACATAGTGAAATGATTACTAAAATCAAGCTAGTTAACATACCCATCTCTCTACATAGTAATCATCTTTGAGTGAGTGTATGTGTCTGCATGTGTGTGGTGAGAGCACCCGAAATCTACTCTCTTAGCAAATTTCCAGTATACAATACAGTATTATTGACTATAGTCACTAAGTTGTACTTTAGATCCTCAGAACTTGTTCTTGCTACATAACTGCGACTTTGTACCCCTTGACCAACATCTCTCCATTTCTCCCACCTCCCTGCCCCTGGTCATCACCGTTCTACTCTCTGCTTCTATGAATTCCACATATGGGTGAGATCATGCAGTATTTTTTTTTCTTTCTTGCGTCTGGCTTATTTCACTCAGCATAATGTCCTCCAGTTTCATCCATGTTGTCGCAAATGGTAGGATCTCCCTTTTTAAGACTGAATAATATTCCATTGTATATGTGTGTGTGTATATATATATATATATATATCTCATAATTTCTTTATCCACTCATCCATTGACAGACACTTAGACTGTTTCCATATCTTGGCTACTGTGAATGGTGCTGCAATGAACACAGGAGTGCAGACATACCTTCGAGGTACAGATTTCATTTCCTTTGGATAATACCCATAAGAGGGATTGCTGGATCATATGATAGTTTTATTTTTAATTTTTTGAGGAACCACCATACTGTTTCCATAATGACTATACCAATTTGCATTCCTACCAACAGTGCACAAGACTTCCCTTTTCTTTATGTCCTCTCTAATGCTAGCTTATCTTTTGTCTTTTTGGTAATAGCGATTCTAACAGGAGCGAGATGATATCTCATTGTGGTTTCGAGTTGCATTTCCCTGATGATTAGTGATGTTGAGCATCTTTTCATGTATCTGTTGGCCATTTGTATGTCTTTTTTGGAAAAGTGTCTACTCAGTTCCTTTGCCCACTTCTAAAATTGGTGTTTTCCCTCGTTTTTGCTATTGAGCTGTATGAATTTCTTATATATTGTGGATATTAACCCCTTATCAGATATATGGTTTGCAAATATTTTCTCCTATTTCAAAGCTTTGTCCTGTTCGTTTTCATTTTGTTGATTGTTTCCTTTGCTGTGCAGAAGCTTTCTAGTTTGATCTAATCCCACTTGTTTATTTTTACTCTTGTTTCCTGAGCTTCTGGTTTCCTATCTAAAAAAATCATTGCCAAGACCAATGTGTCTGATCGTATAGTTTCTATTAAAATCTTAGCGTGGCAGAATCAGAAAGGATCTTAGAGATCACAACCAACCTTCTCATACTACAGAGAAGGAAAGTGAGGGCCAGAGAAGGGAAAGGAGTGGTTTAAAGGACCAATGAGTCTAATACAGGTCTTCTGAATTGTTGTGCAAAGATCTTCCCATTAAGTCACTCAGGGATGCTTAACAAAGTAAACAGTGGAGTGTGCTACAAATTTGTTTCTAAATGTCCTTGAAAGCAGTTGATGGGAAATTTCACTGCTGCTGCAAGTGAAATTGCTAAATGAATTCGACTCTTGAATGCCAAAAATATCTCTGCAAAGATGTGACTTCGTCCTGGTTTAAACACAGGACACTTGAATTCAGCCGTCAAGGACGTGTCCTCACCTCCCACTGGCCTTTTCTATCTCTGAATTCCTGTTGTCTGAGGTGGTCTTCCTGAATCGACTGCTGGACTATGTTTTGTGTCTCTGGTCACTCTGGGTTTCCCCATCTTGACTCTTGGTCTGCTCTGCTCAAGACTGGCCCCCATTGACCTACCCTTCACTTTCAAAGCGTGGCTGTGTGGGCCGGTTGCTCCTCCAGACCCACTTGGCTCTGTGCCCTGCAAGAGGGTCCCTCTGGAATACAGCAATGGATTCCCTTGCCCTTTGGCTCCCAGTTAGATTAGGCCACTGGCTGGAGCTGAGAGGGAGGGAGGAGAGTGAGGGCGGGGTCCTTATTGCCAGGCTCCCTGTCTATAGCATCTCCGAGGTCTGGCTGCATCTGTCCCTTGGAAAGCTCAGCTCCTGTCAAGCGGCTCCCTTCACAGGACTCTCTCCAGGCACCAGTAGCTCCTCCTCCACTCGCCTACTCAGGCCTGGGCGGTAACAGCACCTGCCGCTCCTAGTGCCTCCACAAGCCTTTGGGGTTCTGCATTCTCTCTTGTGGTTTCTCCATACCCTGCCATCCTTTTGAAAATAATCCTTTTACTAAACTCTCCTCGAATTACCCCATTTGAGTGGGTCCCCTGTCCAGCTGGAACTCTGGCTGGTGAACCACCTGACTCCAACTTGAGGCCTCAGTCTCCCCCATCTCTGAGACACGTTCTATCCCAAAGGAATCTTCAGAGCCTCGGTTCAGGAGTCAGTTTGTCTGCAGGGTCCTTGACCCTGGACTCCTAAGTCTTAATGACGAACTCTCACCTTATCAAGCCTGAGATCAAGCCTCTGAGACCTTACGGTGGAACTCCTCACGTGGAGATGGCAAGGACCAGAAATCGGGACCTTGAACAAGCAGCCTGCAGAGCAGTGCGGGCTGTCTGGACTGGCGTCGGGTGTCTCCTATAACAGAGGGCGGGAACAGGGTCTGGAGTCCTGAACGAGAGCTTACTCTGGCAGCATCGGAAGCCCTAGAGTGTTCCTGTGCTTTCTCAGGCTGACGAGGGCTGGGGAAAGGGACCTGCGTCCACGATCAGGCCTGGGTACTGGGGAGGAGCAGCCCTGCCAGGCCCAGTGTGATGACACAGCGGGCTCTGCTGCCTGGACTGAGAAAGCCCCCGGGAAGGGGAAGCAAGTACCCTCCTCTCAGCATCAGCCCTCTGGACAGACCTCAGTCCAGAGGCCTGGTGCCCTTAGTCTGGCCATCCCATGGGTCTCGTCAGCTCCGAGACCACATGCTATTCCGGAGTAGCTGGTGTCGTCTTTATTTCTACCCCTCATTGTGCTAGACACAAAATATGTTAGATTGAGAATAACTTACAGTCACTTCCAACCTGCTTCCTCAGACTGCCACTTGAGAACAAAACCGCGTGGGACAGCAGTTTCACAGAAGAAATAGACAGTTGCAAGATGCCCAAAGTGATAATATTATCTCACATTTGTTCCAGTGTTTCACAGTTTCTCAGACATTTTCTCATGCATTACATATCAATTGATTCTCACAATAAACCTCTTATATATGTGTATATGTATGTCATCTATTATCTATCATGTCTATCTATCAATCTATCATCTATAAAATGTATCTGAAGAGCCTGAGGCTTCAAGAGATAAAATGACCTACCCAAGGTCATATAACCAGCCAGATGAATTGCTTCCTTGTATTTCTGATGATCTCATTGTGTAATATATTAGTTGTGATTATGTCTGTCTTCCACATGAATCTGTGAGCTCATGAGGCATAGAGTCCATGACGTACTATTTTGGGTCATACATACCAATAGGTGTAGGTATGTGTATATGTGGGCCTACATTGCTTCTTTAATGCTTCATAAATAATAAAGCAACCAGCTATGTATCCACCACTTAGATTAGGAAACAAAATGTTGCCATAACTGGTAAAGGCCCCTCCGTGTCCCTTCCTTGTATCTTTCTTTCTCTCAATCCCTAATCACTATTCTAAATGTTGTCTTTATTATATGAATGCATTCTTAAAAGTATATGATTTGCTTATGTATGTCATTAACTTTACATAAATGGGTACTTGGCCTATTTATCTTCATTCTCCGGCAACATGCTCCACTTATACAGACACTGCCCCGCACACAGTAGGTGCTTCGGCCAGCCTGGCCCTACCACGACCAAAAAGCATCTGTCTGCTCACTGTGCTCTCTAAGAGGTTGAAGAAGTCTGGTCAGAGATTGGAGTTGGGTTCTAGGTAACAAAAGTCACAGAACAAAACATCTCAGGGCCCCCAGCTGGCCTGCGTGCACAGACTGCCGCTCCAGTGGAGTCCTTTGTAGCCACAAAGCTAATGCATTCAGGGGGCAGGTCCTGGCGGACTGCCTTACCACCTGAAGCTGCAGTCCCACTTTGGAGCTCAAAAATCTCTTCTTTCTAAGTCACAAGTGGCAAGCAGCACCTCTATGTGCTTAATGACCTTGTTCTCTCCATTAACCCAACTTCCACTTCCTCACACACTTCCCTCTTAAATTCCTGGAGAATTTATGACACATTTTTACAACCATTTAAACAATGCAGCAGTTTATGCAAACCTTAAGGGTGGCACTTTTTAAACTGTGGGCTGTGACCCGTTAGTGAGTTGTGAAGTCAATCGAGTGAGTTCAGACCAAGATTTAAAAATACTGAAATAGAGCTGGGCATTACCTGGTCAAGAAGCAAAGATTACAAGATATCAGCATGTGTTCCGAGTAGCAAAAGGTAAATATTATTTTGTCAAAGTTTTGTTCCAGTTGTGTGTGTGTGTGTGTGTGTATGTGTGTCGTGGGTCACAATGTAAAATGTATTTCTTACTGTGGATTATGTTCAAAAGAATGTTTGCAAGCCACTGCTCGAGAGGGGCTCTGCGGGGACACTGGTTGCTTATTCACCCGCTGTCTATTCTCTCTCCCCACAGTGGGACAGCCTCGTGGTTTGGTTGGGCTCTAGGAATGTCCGTGACTGACCTAAACCATTGCCATAAACCCAACCAGTTGCCACCATGATTGGTTGAGGGATGGGCAGCAATCTTAGGCCTAGACCAATTAGGACATGTTGCTCCCTGGCCACAGGGGATGACATATGACCCAATTAATCTAGAGATCTGTCTCTTGGAGAATCCAAACCTTTGATGGACCTGGAAATGTTACAAATAAATGCTTTGGAGATGCCCAATCAAGTTTGAAACATAGAAAGGCTGTTCACTGTGCACCCCACCCCCAGCCCAGTCCAGAACTTGCTGGGGAGGGAGGAGAGACCAAAAAACAAACAAATAAGACACGGGGTAATTTCCAAGTTACATCATCAGTAACCTACTTATAAAAGTCATGGTTTTGCTGCCTTAAAGGGAGCTTTGTAGGCAGCCACAGCTCCCTCTCCAGCTCTGGGTTCTTCCCTGGAGTAGTTTACATATTGGGAGAACCTGGGCACTTAGGAGGCCGAATTCCTGGGGAAACAGGAATTTGGGAGCCATCAGCCTGTCCATGCCAGAGGAGGCCAGGGGAGCATGTGAGGCCGGCCAGGAAGAGTGTAAACGGAGTCCAAGTGAGGAGACCTGGGAGAGATCCCGGGGAGAAACAACTTTTGGGGATGGACAGAGGAAAGAGTGGTAAGAGAGAAGGCTGCCACCAT